GACCCTTCATGTAGATGAGTGTAACCATTGTGCCAACCGTCTCACACCAGAACTAATCAGGGTTTCAAAGTGAAATTCATTTCGTAGATGTTATCTTCATTGATAGGCCATCAGTATTTGGTCGGAGACATTGGGTGTCCGGTTAACTCCGGTCAACTGTATATCTTCGAATCAGACTGTGTGGATCGCGGAGACATCAAATTACCAGTTTTCCTACCAGTTTATTACGTTTAGAACACAACATCTGACTGACTTTGGAGAAATAAAGGAACACTTATCTATCAGTAACCAGCGTGCTAAAGTCCACTCATGCTTCCAGCCTACTCTCGGACACAAACAATCACTCAGCTTTTGCCCACGGTCACCTCTGTGTGAACTTACCAAAGAGAGGTTTTTGTGGCTAATGCAATTAATTTAAGTTGTTTCCCATCTGCCTTCATCTGGCTCTTTCTGCACTGTATGTCAACCAGTTTCCCACACAAGATCATGCTGAACACGAAACACGATGACACATCGCCGTCAGAGACGTATCCTTGATACAAACTCATTTGTCAAATGTAGAGGCATCTGTATCAGGATCATTTTAAGAGTCACATGCAGAATTGGTTCACGATTGGTCTGTATGATGTGAGTAAAGCACATTCGATGCAGCCTGTTCTGAACGAATTAAACGTGTTGCAAATCCAAGATAATAGTGGGCGAAAGATATCTGAGATTTCTCAACCCGGTAGACCAAATCCGTCTGCCAAGCTTGGTTATAACGTCGTTTTATGGTTCAGTGACGAGATCGTTTCTTATAGAAACGTCAAGTTAGTATTTGCTTCATGAATCTCGAGGGTGCATTTTCAGCATTAGATTTCACATGCTTCCGAAGAAATCAACAAACTTAATGTTTTTAGATATGCCACAAGGCTGTTCCACCATGCTCTGGCATCTTTATCGGTGCATATCTGATAAACGAAACTGCAATGATTCGAGGTCGACTCTGTCGTTCGTCAGATGCGCTATCTACGTTAGTAACCTAGGCCAATCTCGAACAACTCTTCTCACCATTTGACTGGCCACACAATGCTCAGTATCTATCCCTTTTAGTGAATTATCGAAAATAGCCCTGTTTGCTATCACGTATTGTAGTATCTCGCGTTACCACTTCGCAGTATATTCCTCGTTGGTCTCTTATTGAACGGGTACTGATCAATTCCTCTATACGCAGATTCTTAGCAAGTCTTCAGTACAAGTGCACAAACGAGGCTTATTTTTGGACGGAGAAGTTGTTTCAGATGTGATGTTTATAAAATTCCGATCTGTTATTGATTTCCAACTATCCATGCATCGTTACTCTTGCATCAATGTACAACTCACGTTTTGTTCTGTATCGCTTCAATTTTCCGCCATTGTAGTTCGGCCAATTTTTCTCGTAGTTGTTGGGTTTCCATTTGAAGGCGTTTCATTTCAGCCAAACAGTTGGGATCAGCGCAACTGTGCGACTCATTGGCCAAATGTGGACTTTTGTTGGTCTCGGCTTGAGGCACTTTCTGTGAATCAAAGGTGTACACACGGTGAAAATGTTGCGGTTTCATTTATACTATTGACTAAAAATGGGTAGTGTAAATTGCCCTGATGAAACCCCTAGCAGAAACATGCACTGCCAACATTTGCCATTTGTTTAATCTGACGAACAAATGAAATGCGAGCTTTGATTCGAAATAGTGGTAAGGTAGAAGCGATGCGGACAATAAATAATTAGACTGTTATTCGTACTGTTTGACCAAGGAGACGGATCTTATTATCTGCGCTAACAATAGTCTTCACTCGTTTCTGCCGAACTTATTAGTTTGTATGTCGATTGTGATAAGTTCAGTAACCTCGCTGGGATTCGAACCCACGCATGGATGCCGCCTACGCTTTGTACGCGCATGCTCTACCAGCTGAGCTACGAGGCCACACCTATAGCGCTGATCTTTTCACATTCGAATTTACCCATCCAACTTACAGAGGCATGTGGCATCCACCAGCTAGCATGTAAGCTGACTGCCTCGACAGGTTTTCCTTAGAATTCACCGGAGTCCATCAAATGAGCTTCTAAGACAAGGATAATTGTTCAAATGGTTGTTTGGCAACAAGCAATTTGAACTTATTAGTGCTTAATAATATTGTCATAATCATGAAACAAAATTTGCATCTGGTGACACGTGATTTAGCCACGAAGAAAATATTTTTCGGTTGATTTAAGTTGGCTGATGATATGTAGATGAAGTTTAGTAACGTATTCCGAAAAGGTTCTTCACTGTTTTGCTTAAATTCGAAAAATCTAATCATTCCAGTTGGTTCTTATTTTTCAGTACCTCATGGACTCGAAGACATTACACTGTAGTCCCCCGTTTATCCTTTTTTGGGACCAGTGATGTGTTTTGATGAATGAATCGCCGTAGTTGCAACTCCTCGCGAAGCTTTTGAGCTTGTCAGTCACTGATTGGCTGTTTCCTATAAACATCCTCTTTTTCTTCACAGAATTGGTGTATGAGTATGGTGCTACTGATAAACAAACAACTGGTTTGCTTACTCATCTATTTCGTTTAATTGAAGGTTCGATTAACCTTGTATCCTGTTGTGATGTGGAGAGCACTAGCTCGGGGGATATTCTATTGCACATTTGTGTGCACTCCACTGAGATGTACGAGCCCCCCGGAGGGTGTTTGAGTTTCACTATCCTCCATTATATTCCATTTACTTGCCTTCAAAACACCTTCCAACTTAAACTTACAAGGAAACAGAATAATGCTCAGGTTGCTTTTTATTCAACTTTACATGTAACTGGGAAGTTGTGAGGCGTAAACGTCTTTTTTGTTACGCCAGCGTGTGTTGTCCCGCAAAAGGAGTAAATCCCGTAGTCACGCGAGTCTAATGTTTACTGATTGTAACCATCAGCTTAGGCTTGCAATGGGATGATATTAAACCAGATGAAAGCTAAGTTGTATTGGACCCCTAGCTGCTTGCCCTAATGAGTTTTGGTAATGCTTCTTGTATGTAACCTTTTGAAGTTGCAGTTGGAAAAGACAGGCTCCGATGAAAAGCGCCAGATTAAGTCAACTAGATCACGGCTTAACTTACAGGCCAGAATTTAATGGCTCCATTTACCTTAGTAGTCTTCACGGCANAGGGGTGCTGAATGTCGTTGGATAGAAACTACAGCGTGTATGACTCAGAATGGGAACCAGTTGCTTGAATGTGCATAACTGCTAACGGATGACTCTCTCCATAACCAACAAAATCACAGAACGCGTATTAAACAGTTTTAGAATGTACCTCTGAAAGTCTCAGTATGGTCGGGGGTGGGTGTCTTGGGTTGTGGGCGGTTACCCTTTCCTTACATCTCACGGAATGCTCCTATATGACGAAGCGTCTCAAACAGCCTCTGCTGAGGAAACCCTTTTTGTGGGGGAGGGATTTTCTCACCCAATCGATGAACATGCGTTCATTTGCGCTTTGGCGTATGGAAGCTCTGAAGCCAAAACAGTCAACCCGTAGTCCCTCTTCGGACTTGTAGAAAGTAAAGCGTGTTAGTTTGATTTTTTCATTTTCTAAAGGCGTGCCAATGATCTGAAAAGTTGCTTTGATCGCATATTCGTCCATTCAACTGTAACACTTCTCTCTACGTGTGTAGGGCTTTTTGTGTATTTAAGATAATTAATCAATTATTCTTTATGTATTTTTGAAGCTGGCTAGTCTCTAGATGTTACCTGAAAATATGAACAAGTGTTGGATCAATTAAGCTTTCAGCTACAAGAGGAAAGTGTTGTCCAGATAGATATGAATTCCCTGGAACCTTTAGGAAGAAGCAATGACTGAAATTTTATTGTGCGACTGACAGAGTGCTCCCCAAAACGTGGTGCATTTTAACCTGATCATCGTCAGTCGATGGAGGAATAGTGTGCTCTCCGTTTTGCATCGCATAATTTCTTTCAACTGTTGGTTGTTTGTGCATCAAGAGTAAGAATATCGCAATGTTGTAGATTAACTCCCGGAGCGATTCTGGGCACGCGAAATGCACTAGTCACTATTGGAGGGACTTAGCAGTGCGAAAAATTGTAACAAAACTGGTTGAAGCAGATCCGGGTGTGTCCGCAGTGTTTTTCTTTAGAGGTTGAGTAAAGTTGTGCACAACCAATGTTCAGTAGCTCATTATGAGATCAAAACTGTAGTTACCTAGCAAAATTTCTCTCATTTTCTCATCGATTGTAGGGTATCGTAGTGGCAGTTTGTACCCCACTCAGCCATTACCAAAGACCCGATAACTTTGGAGGTACCACTTCTATGGTTTTCTCCAACCTTTTAAGAAAGCTATCCTACCACAAACGGTCTTCTGTTCAGATTTATGAATGCCGAACTTATGATTTGTGATTTAAGGTATCATGGTGTGAACCTCGTTCATCCCATATGTTCACCGCTCAGTTTACTGAATCACATGTACATAAAATGTTTTACCAGTTCGTTGCAGTTCAACCCGGACATAAGCTTTGTCTTAGTCCTACACGTGGATGCTGCACGTGATATATTTTATGATGTACCCGGGGGTTTTCTTCTGCCATTCATCGTGTCATTCAGTTGAGAGAAGATGGTGATGGTGCTGATAGTCGAGCGAAGACGGCCTGGCACCGTAATCA